GTGTGTGTGTGTGTGTGTGTGTGTGTGTGTGTGTTTGTGTGTGTGAGAGAGAGAGAGAGAGAGAGACAACGGCAGGGTGTTCCCCTCCTTAGGGCAGGGTGTTCCATGACCCCTTGCACTTTTCTTTGGTGGGGGGGGGGCACCCTTTTTTTTTTTTTTTGTGCCACATTGGGTGCGATGCGCGAGGTGCACCAGACGTGCGCTGAGGTGTCCACCTCAATGCACCGCAAGTATGGAAAAAGTCACGCTTGTTTCAGAGGACATAATAGGACACCAGCTAACGAAGAAGCCGTAGTTTCAAAGGACATGATTTAATGAGACCTCAGAAACTGTATCCCACCTTCGTGTCTGAGGGCATATAGTCACGACATACTTTTGCAAAAGTATCTCAGCATATTTGTACAACCAAATTCAGTAGGGACTAACTCTTGGTGTGAATGTGGACGTGGAATCCAAAGTTACAAGTTCATACAAAACTGAGCAGCTGTATTTCTTTTTTTTCTTTTTTTACTAAGCTATATTCTTCTCTGACAATACCTCCCGCTACCTATCTAACTAGGAATGATACACACCTTGGTCCAACCTCCAGCGCCAGGCTACACTAAGGGTTATGGGTTGAGCCTATCCCCTCCGGGTTGACCCTAGCCCTCGCAACGGGTGGCATTCCCGACCAATCAGCCAGGAGCGACAACCTGACTATCTCAGCTGGTGAACGTGCAGCAAACCTCAGGAGGTGTGGGGGCTCGATTCGGGGAATGGGGGAATCCTACCCGCCGCACATGTGGTGGGGAGCATGAGGGGGGCAGCCGCGCAGGGCTCCAGAAAAGAACCACACAGCTAGTCCCAGCAGCAGAGCCACGGTTTTCAGGGCAGCGAGGGAATCAGGGAAAAGGGGAAGAAACTTCAAAAAAGCAATAAAAAAAAGGCACGGGAAAGTATCTCACCGAAATAACATGTGACCAACGCGGCGATTGGCTGGCTGTGGCATTGCGTCGCCACAAAAAAGCCCCAAAAAGAGCGAGCCGCAGAAAAAAAGTAAAAAAGAAAACGACTCCACTTTGTTGTCTCTTGGGCACGTGGTGAGTAGTGGAGCCAGGCCCTGTGAGCACTGCTGCCAGAAGCTCCACTACTTGCCAGGGGAAAAGCCAAAAAAAAAAAATATATATACTTCTTTGTCGTTTATGCAGGTGGTGATGTTGTTCTGCACGTGGTGAGTGGTGGAGCGAGGCCCTAAGTATACAACTGCAAGATGGGGCTTCGCTCCAAAGGGCCTGGCTGCAATTTGCAAAATGAGAGTGAATCCACGGAAAGAACATGGAAAGTCGAAACGAATCTTCTGCAATCAGACTAGTCTTCTTCGACACTCAGCACGCATGCAAACAGATGGTGATCACGCTGGCGCTTCAGCGCCCACACAAAGCTCAGAGATAACGAGGCCAAGAACACAGCTCAGATCCAAACTTGTCACGATCGGCTATGCCAGATAAAGATTCACCTCCATCAACTGTATTCCCAGCAACTTGTTCACACACACACAAATCTGGATCTTGCTGGATGTCCCACACACATACACACACATCGCACATACACACACACACACACACACGAACTATGCTAGCTGGCAGCTATGGCTGCCGTCTTCCTCCTATCACAAACAACACAAGCGGCTATTGCCGCGTCTTCCTCCTCTTAGCCCACTTCCTCTTCGGGCACCTGCAGACCTTCGTACACAAGACACTCCGACAGCGCTTCCGCACGGCTCACAATCAGAATCAATGAATGACTGAATGCTGCCTCTTTATTTATACTTCGGCTCGTCGTTGGTCTGCCCTTGGACGTCGGGCCCGGGGTGCACACAGTCCCACACGGTACTTGCTGACTTAACAAAGTGCGACCGGGACTGGGCACCGCTGACTAGGCTACGTAGGCCTAGGACTGCCCTTTGCTGACTGTGCTAGGACTGCCCTCCGCTGACTCCGACACAGACTGACTTCTAGGACCTACGAAGAGCCACTTCCGGATCTTCGGGAAGACTGTAGACTTGACCCTTCGAGACTGTAGCAGCTACGACTTAGACCACTGCTAAGACTCCTAAAAAACAGACTACGGCTCGGGACCCGACGAACGCACTATATACAACAGCTAAACATACGACTTTCAGAACACAGATCATGGGTTCAAACACTCACGGGTCAACGGGTACTGTACACGGGTGAAGGGGAGGTCTAGGGATCAAGCCCTGGGTACTGCATCTGCTACCGTAAAGGTGAAAACCGTTTCACTTCCCTAGATCAGTGAAAGATACACGGCCATTCTTTGGACCTCGATGCGCCACTCTCCAAATGTCCAAAATGAGACTGAATCCACTGCTAGAACATGGTAAGATACATTGCCATCTTTTGTATCTTTTGATCATGTGGAGAGTATTGTAGCAGAGGCCGTTTCATCCCCCCCCTTCTGCGAAAACGACAAAAACAAAACCGATTCTGCTGGGAAAAACTAACGAATCTACTTGGGGAAACAAAAACGGGCAACTCTGTAGTCTGTGCCGCTATGTACTTGTGTTCGAACAGATGCCACAGCCAGTCTGGTCCCTTCTGCGCGCTGGGCCCAAGAGAGAAGCAACGCTTTCCCAAAAGTGGAAGCCAGGTCTCACGGTAGCGTTACGCGAGAACCGCTATTTTCTTTAGGAGTGTTAAGGATGACAAATACAAACCAAGCAGCTGTATTTCGGGTTTTTTTCCCTTTGTTTTTAGAGTTCGAACTCAGGTCTGTATTTCAACAGTTCAGGGGTGTACCAACTGAGTTCTTCCGATCTTCAGAAAAGAAAAGATGGTGAAAGTCAAAGATTTTTCTCGAAATGCATGCAGAGAGAGAGAAGAGGACAGCAAACGAGGAGCTGTGACATGCTGTTTTGTCAGACTTTCACTAGCTCATATATATTACCTGAAATTTTCCGATGGAGGGATGGGGTTATCTTCTGCCGAGCCAAGCACAGCAACAAAATCAAGGGGCTTCACTTCCTTCATTGCGTTTGATGGGTCCTCCAATTTCAGCCAAGGGCGAGTGCACACAAGCAGCTGAGAGACACTCTGCACCATGGATGAAAAATAAACAAAGAAGACGCTGCTACCATCAGAGAACGAAGAACGCAGGAGAACCATTAACCGACACATTCCTCACTATCAACCAGCACGACGGAGAACAAAGATATCATAATGCAAGGAGAGGGTGTGCGTCCCCTATTTCCTTTTCAGGACAGGAGGTGAGCTTAGCCAATCTCGGAGTGGGGTCCTGCCTTGACACAAGTGAGGCATGCATGCACTGTACACACACGCACACACACACACACACACACACACACACACACACACACACACACACACACACACACACAGAGACTGTGTGTGTGAGAGAGAGAGAGACTGTGTGTGTGTGTGTGTGTGTGTGTGTGAGAGAGAGAGAGAGACTGCGTGTGTGTGTGAGAGAGGGAGAGACTGCATGTGTGTGTGTGTGTGTGTGAGAGAGAGAGAGAGAGAGAGAGAGAGAGAGAGAGAGAGAGCTCTTACTTTCAGCTGTGGCCCAGGTGCTGCGTTCTGGTCTCCTCCTGAGTACTGGTCTGCATCTGGCAAGCCCGTCTGCAGCAGGGAATGAAGGAAGTTGATAGCCTCTGGACAGAATCGTTTGCCTTGACCGCAAACCTGCAATCCATGAACGAGTTGGACGCATGGCAACAGATGTTCGGCAGCTTAGCGACTACCATGGCTTACAAATTACAATGTGTTGTGAATCTCCATTTTTTCCCCTTTGCTTTCCCCAATGATGTTAAACACACCAGTCCATTCGCAGGCGGCACTACAGATTTTGCTCGTACACGAGTACCGGCGCAAAATCTACAGTGCCCAGGCCTGGTAGAGGCTCAGTGGGTAGGGGCAAGTGTACATTGTTTTCAATAGCCGGCACTGCGGATGCCAGGCTCGGAAAAATACAACTTTTTTGGTTTGTCAATTCTGCCTCGGATGGACCTCCACTCAGTCACTGAACCATGGGGGACAAATCCCTTTCTCTGCAGACAAGGCAGGCCCCTGAGAAAACAAAGGTAAAGGAAGCGGTTGAGAAATGCCCACCTTGTGCCAGAAGAAAAGACCAAACCCCCAAAGAAAGAAACAGCATACCAAACAAAACGCAGGTTATGGGGCTTGCCAAGGCAGAGTTCATTGGACCCACGCCCCTGGTACATTGGCTATATGAAGCACACAAAGTACTATGGCTATAGCCATCCTAGTACATGTAATATACGTAGTATCACTGGTCCTAGGCCCCTGGCTATATGAAGCAAACAAGTACTATGGCTAAAGCCACACATAGTCCTAGTATGTGTAGTATATGTAGTATTCACTGGCCTAGGCATAGTTCATTGGACCTAGGCCCCTGGTACATTGGCCATATGAAGCACACAAGTAGGAGGGCTATAGTCATCTTAGTACACGTAATATACGTAGTATTGCCATACACAGTCCTACTATGTGTAGTATATGTAGTATGAACTGGCCCTAGTCCCCTGGCTATATGAAGAGCACAAAAGCCATACACAGTCCTACTATGTGTAGTATATGTAGTATTAACTTGCCCTAGGCCCCTGGCTATATGAAGCACACAAGTACTATGGCTGAGGCCATACATAGTCCTAGTATGTGTAGTAATGTAGTATTCACTGGCCCTAGGCCCCTGGTACATTGGCTATATGAAGCACACAAGTACTATGGCTAGAGCCATACATAGTCCTAGCATGTGTAGTATTTGTCGTATTCACTGGCCCTAGGCCCCTGGTACATTGGATATATGAAGCACACAAGTACTATGGCTATAGCCATACATGGTCCTAGTATATGTAGTATTCACTGGCCCTAGGCCCCTGGTACACTGGCTATATGAATCACACAAATACTATGGCTATAGCATTACATAGTCCTAGTATATGTAGTATGCATGGCTACTGTGGACCCTAACACCGGACCAATCCGGACCCAGACAACCAGTCGGTCCGGATATGATCCGGACGTCCGGACCGTCCGGACATGGTCCGGATCGGTCCGGGTGGTCCGGATGATCATGTCCGGATCGGTCTGGACTACAAAAAAAGAAAAAAAAACCTGGCAGGTCTCTTATGCATGTTGAATGCAGTTTCATCGTATAACCGTGACTTAAGGGGAAGTGTTCCAGGAAGACATAGCTGTTGGCATATATGACAAACATGAATGATCATTCCTTGACATTCACTGTGCTGGCACAGTCACTGCAAAGGACAAACTGCTGCAAGGGAAGAAAAAGTGAAGAAACAAAAAAAAGAGCACTCCGCAGTGAAGTTCAAAGTCCGAAGTCCGAGTTCAAACTGAAGTGCCTAGATCCGCCCTCTCCCTGTGTGTGTGTGTGTGTGTGTGCGTGTGTGGCGGCGGCGGGTGGGCGGGAAAGCACTCTGAAGTGCCTAGATCCACCCTTTCTTCCCTTTGTCACTGGGGAACTGCGCTCTGCCTCCAACGGTCTTGCCCAGGATGCAAGTACAAAAGGGGCCGGTCCGGCCGCCCTGTACGGCCAATACCGGCCCCAAAAATCATCAAAACATTTTTCACGGGGCGCTCTGGACCCAAGGGACAGGTCTAGGGTGCCTCCATTCTTTTTTTTATTTCAGGGTTTTGGCCCCTTCCGGAAGGGCCTCCTATGGTCCAGCGTCCAGACACCGGATAGCAGACCGTCTGGACGCCTGTCCGGATGTCCGGATGGTAGCCATGGTAGTATGATAGCACTATAGACATAGTACTGAGGCAAAGGAGTACGTATATCCATCGTACCACAACCATACAGTCCTATTACTGTGCATACATAGCCCTGTATGTTGGCTATACGTGGTGCAATGGTAGTCTACCTATGGTACCAAGGCAAAGGACTCCACATACTAGGCATAGTGCTAAACAAATATAATCCTCGTACTGCGGCCGGAGTGCCCCATTGTACGACTCGTCAATACAACTGTTTAGTTAAAAGGTGCCACAAAACTACGGCTATCCATATACTCAAACAATTCTATGCCGAAATCGATGTCTGGAGACGATTGCATTAGGTGTTCGCACTAAAGCTCCTCTACCGGGCCGCGTTCTGTTAAGTGGAAAAATACTATACCAAAAGAGTGGGTTTTAGCGACAAATTTTGAAATAAAAAACAACACAGAGATATAGCAATACGACTATGGCTTTAAGCCATAGTACCAGGGCTAATAAGGCTATTAGCCTATTGGCCATAGTACAAGGCCTAAATGGCATCATAGCTATAAGCCATCGTACTATGCCTCCATGCGCTCTTTGCAACATATTCCTATAGCTCAGTCCTTTGCAATATCTGTTGGCAGATTACAACGATGGCCGCCGCAGAAACTGCAATGCCATACTGGAACAATTCTATCACCAAATGGGACCGTAAATGCAGTCAAACATTCACAAAATAACAGCCATGCGTGGCACCTTGCAGAGCTGAAGGCTTACGGACCAAATTTTGCCTCACGTAGGATGATAGCACAGCCGAAGACAGTTTAGAGAGGGCAGAGGAAGCAATTTTATTGCTCTTTGCTGACAGCAACAGTGAGCTATTTGTGTTAGAGAGAGAGAGAGAGAGAGAGAGAGAGAGAGAGAGAGAGAGAGAGAGAGAGAGAGAGAGAGAGAGAGAGAGAGAGAGAGAGAGAGAGNAGAGAGAGAGAGAGAGAGAGAGAGAGAGAGAGAGAGAGAGAGAGAGAGAGAGAGAGAGAGAGAGAGAGAGAGAGAGAGAGAAAGAGAGAGAGATTAGGGAAGCAATGATAGTGTGGATGGCCTTACACTGAGCATGAGGGAACTTAGGAAAGTTCCCGTTGCAACATCTCTTAATGACTGAACCGGGCACCTCATAAGGTATTGAGAGGTGATGAGCAAAGCCGGTGAGCAGACTGGATGTTCAAAATCTGATGGAGGGAAGATCAGGAACCATAGCCGCAGCAAAAGCAGAGTCCTGACAGTTGGCCAGAAACTTCCTGTCGAACCTATCCATGCACGGAAAGGATCGGCAACAATTAGTCAATGATCAGGAACAATTATGGAAGATAGTCAATCATCAAGAACAATTTGTGCCTTCCATACAATTCCCTCCCTTTGCAATGGAAAGATGTTCACAAAGGTACACACCCAATGGATACACATCCACAAGCACAAACACGATCAAACATATACAACCCTTTACATGCGCATTTACACTTAAGCCAACGCAAGCATGCATACGTGCACATGAGAGTGTTGGTATACACACACTAGAAACATAGAACACAGCCACACACGCACGCACATAACTGCACATAGACATACACACACCCACACACGCACACACACACACACACACACAAACACACACACACACACACACACACACACACACACACACACACACACACACACACACACACACACGTTCAACCTCCTGATGAGTCGGTGAAAGTCCGACGAAACAGTCTGGCACAGTCATGCTTTGTTTGAGTGAGCGGCGAATATGACAACACACACATGCACGAAGAGAACTATGCATGTGCAAACAAGCGTACCTAAACAAAGAGAGAGATTCTGCACAATATGCTCCATCTCTCACTTTCCACCTTTCCTGTGGTTGGCATGTGAAAAGATCGGCAGTGCTATATCAGACATGCCTGTGTGACTGGTAAGATGCACGCACCTGAACAGGTATAATTAGACACCATAATGGTCGTGGGGTGGTTTTCAACAGGATGGCTGGAGGGTGTGCTCTGAGAAATGGAGAGACCATCCCTTTCATGAGTGAGAGAGGGACCCAAAGGCGGCCTAACAGAGATCCACCTCCACAGGGAAAGACAGGGCCATGGCCACAGACTCAGAAGTGGAGAGGCGGGTGGCAGGGGGAAGGAAAGCAGGCGTTGGCCTACAGCAGAGCCTAACGTATGTCCAGGGCGAGATGAAGCGTGACTGAACAAGGATGAAGGCCATCTACACCTGAAGACAGATTTTCAAAGCAAAGCGATCCAAAGTTCAAACGCTTAAGAATGGGACATGTTAAGCATATACTCCGCTGGTTCCCTCTCCTTGTTGCTTGTGCCTCCTTTAATCGGCATTCTCTTAACCCAAATTTGGATAACGAGAGCCATAATTTAGGGGGGTTAACCCTCAAATGCTTGCTTTGGCTGCTTCGGCAAGAGCAAAAGTTAACCCACCCCCATGTTGGAGGGTTAACCGTCAATGTCTGTCTGTATTTGGGCAAGACCAAAGTTTAACCGACCCCGTTCTCGGGGGGTGGGGGAGTAACATCGATTAACCTTCAGCCTTCTTCAACCCTCTCAGTTTATGTTTGGTTGGGCAAGAACAAAGAGGAGAATACCGTAAACAGCACCCCTTGTTGCTGGCAGAGTGGAACGGATCCTCCTGACTGATAGTGAAGTATGTGAATGTGCTAACATAGGGCCTCACTCCACTACTAAGCAGTCTTACATGCATTCAAAAGAGTCCAACGTTTTGAACGTATCGAGACAATTATGACCTCCAGATAGATACATGTGTAGTGTTGGGTAGTGGAGTGAGGCCCATAGAAATGCTGTTTTCCTCTAGAAAAAAGGACGGACAACGATGGTAGCTTTGCCTATGTCCATTAGAAATTGGATAAAATTTTCAAAATAGAGAAGAATAACATCGCCCCTTGCACAAGGATGACATCCACTACAATCCACAATTTGAAATTTACAAAATAGTTGACGTTGCCCCGGCTCAGTTCGTATACCCATGAACTGTTGAAATGCAGACCGAAGTTCAAATCCAGATGCGGTCAGATGAACAAAACTGAATAATTCTGAATTACCTGGGGCTGGTCAGTTTCATGATGATCTCGCAAGGTCGTCACCCTATTAAAATGAGAAAAAGAAAGTGGAACGAAAAATAGAAGGATGGGACTTTGGTAGGATACCTGGACATTGAAATTTTGCAGAGAGCTGTTGCTGCATGCGCATGAGACGCTCCCTGGCGCAGACTGCCGCGAAGAGTGGCGTGATGGCGCTCATTTCAATCAACGGCTGTGTAAGCGCATCGATGCGATCCAAGGGCAGGGGTCGCTCGCCAGCGATAGCAGCGAAGTACTGCAGGAGCACTCCATAGAACACCTGCAATAAGCAAAACATGCCTAGTTGAGGGGGTACACCCACGAACTGTTGAAATACAGGCCTGAGTTGGAATCCAGATGGAAATAGATGAATGAATTTCGGACTTACCTGGAGCCGGTCAGTTCGACGACGATATCTCAAGGCCGTCGCCCTTCTCTTAAACACCCATAAAATAAAAAAAAAATAAAAATAAAAAACCAACAACAATAACAACCGTTTCCTCAATTGACCACTGTGAAATGACCTGCTGCTGATCTCAGCCTGTATTTTTCCCTCCACAAGTGGCTCAGAAAATGCAGCAACTGTGAAAGGACAGACAGATAGAAACTCTCGAGTTGCAAATTGGGGTGTGGGGCAAATACAGCAAAGGCGTGATTGGCGTCTGCTAAAATGGGAACGATACAGAGAAGAACGTCAGGATGGACCCTACACAGTGTGACACACATAACTCAAAAAATGGACCGGAATTCTCCAACCAGCTGGTCTAGCTCAGTCGGTACACCTACTACAAAGTTACAAACTGTTGAAATACGAGTGAAAACAACCAGCAGACCTGAGTTACTTCCAGTGGAATCCGATGAGTAAAAACAACTCTGAATTTACCTGGGGCTGGTCAATTCAAAGATGATACCTAAAACAAAAGTGCCAAAAACAAACAAAAGAAACAACAGCAAACAGGAACTCCAACTATGGGAAGGCATTCACGGAGAACGGCGATAACGCTGTTAAAATAATGAAGTGCTGGGCAAAGGGTGGGGGCGTCCTCGTCTGCAAATTTGTGAGCTTTCTGAGAGCGTACTCACACAGTAGGACCACGAAAACATCCAGAAATCAGCTGAAGAAGTCCTACTGTGAGTAGTACACCCTGAGTCATTGTTGTGAATAACTGAGCACTGACCGAGCGTGCCCATGTTCTTTCCTGAACCTTGGAGAAGGCTGTACCTGTAAAGGTGGGGAACTTTTGAGAGTCAGAATTGAAAGTCGGTCCAGCATACAGAAAAGTGAATCACTGCATGAAGGGACTTGTAACTTCGACAGTGCAGGGATAAATTGGGAAGTCGGTAAGGGAGGGAAGAGGGGAGGATAGTTAGGGGAAAGTTAGATCAATCGATCAACCTCTTGATCTATCTATCGACGGAGATTACGCGCCATCAGGAAGTCACTGTTTGGCAAAGATATGGCCGTTTGATTGCCCAAGATCTACGGCCAGAGTTTGTCTGATTTTCGCAGGGGAGTGGCAGCGGCAAGAGTCCGCAACTTTCCTTTTTCTCTTCCCTCTCCCTTTACTTGGCATAGGAGGCAGTGCACACGAGGCGCAAAAAGGCACATGGGAGAGAACTGCGTTGGACAAGTTATAAATGGGTAAAGAGAGCGGATGTATTAATAATAATAAAATAATAAAACAATAAAATGATGAAAGCACTTCACCTGCCTAAGCCTGCCATGATTCGATCCCGGGACCTGTCGCTGTTGTGGTTGCCTTTTCTGCTATGGTGTATGCCTGTGAGATGCTGTTGGAGCTTACCTGTGCCCTTACATGTTGCTATACCCTGTTGTAAGCGTTGACTGTGCTTGTGGAACCTTGAACCTGAGAACTGCTCCCATGTATACGTAAAGTCGATGCCTGCTACCGTTCGTCCAGTAACTGTGTCTCCAACAAATATCCAGAGGCTCCGAAGGGCAACGGGGGAAGTGCCCCCGAGAAAACAAACTGCAGAAGTCGGAGGGTCCATTTTGTGTGGTGCTGGTTCCCGAAATCAAGCAGTGCGCTGCGTGGTCAAGACGACAGCCATAGCTGGAGTAGTAGGGCAATCGAGCTGCCATCTGGTAGCTGTTGTTTTCTGTTTATCTGGCGTGGAAATCGTGCCGTTGTACCGGACATTTTGGGAGTGAGCTTTTGCTTGGTGGTGAGTGAGCCATCAAGTGGGAGCATCACATCGATGTTCAGGGAGAGATCCTTCCTGTGTAGAAGAGAGGAGGAGACATGCTGGTGGTAGCAGAGATTGCAGCACCTGAAGACTGCATTGTTGGAAGTTTTACTGAAGTTGCAAGTTTAACTCTGACCTGCATCTTTGTAGCAGCAAGTGACAGGGCTTCCATTGCCAGAAGTTTCACCGTCAAGTCGAACTCGATGGCGTAATTATGCCAGGCCTGTTATCTCGAATTTGCAAGTCTGTGAGCATATTTGTGGAGCTTACCCACCATAGCTGCACCATCTATATAACGCCATGCTGTGCGCGTGCGGTGTCTGCCCACTAGAATTCATAAATTTCGTTGAACTGTGTGGCATCGAAGCAGAGAAGGAGAAGTTGATTTTCAGGTGTTTGGTGTGACTACCATATCTGCACGCTCACATGGAATGCGATGATGCATGAGTGAGGGTCTCCTTCCGATAATAATAATTATTAATTACTAAATAATAATAAATGCTATTAAATAGTATTAATAAATTAAATTTTTCATTATTTTATGCAGTAAAGACAAAATCATTTTTATTTAGCGAGGTCGGAGGGAGGCTTTTCATTGGGACTGTGATCAAGGTAATAACTTACAGCTTACAAGAGCAAGGAAGTCGAAGACGGGAGGGAAAATGAAAGCAGGGCTTTACGGTCCCAGCCTCCCTGGTCCTTTTTTTATACCTGCATTTTCTTCCTGTTCTCGCTGCCCAGAGAAATTGCATTGCAAGTGCAAATTCTCTCTATTGCCACCCTTAACTCTCTCACAGATCGGTGATCGACAAGGCGCCGGAACTCCTCTAATGTCTTCGGTGCCTCAATCACAAATGGGAGCTCCTTCCTCGCCGAAGCCACTACAGACTTTTTTTTGCTGCCCAGCAACTTATCCTCTTTATCCATGCATCGTGGCATACCTTTCTTCCCTTTCTCCGCTGTCGACACACCTCTTTTCGTCTTTTCCTCTCCCTCCGCGTCCTTGGCAGCAGCACTCACAGCTGTGACTAAGTCATCCTCATCATCTTGCTCCCAGTCCCTTCCGTGTTCGGGTCCTTCTTCCTCACCATCACTCTCGTCATCTTCCTCCTCCTCCTCAGCAATTTCATCATCGTCAGTGTCTTCAGCCGAGCCGGCATCATCATCACTGCTGTCATCCTTGTCGTCATCTTCTTCCTCTTTGTTGTCACTATTCTCTGCCTTTCGTCTGCCGCCTTTCTCGTTATTGTCATCATCATCAGTTCCCTGGTCCCCCTCTTCCTCTTCGCTTTCGATCCCCAATATCCCATCTTTCAGAACCAACCTAGGTTTCTTGAGAACGAAGTTCTCTCCAAGATCATCTCCCGAGGGCTCAGTCCGTTTCTTCAGCTCCTGCTTTCTCTGCTTTCTCCTCGAGGCGTAATAGCCTTTCTGCTCTTCCTTCTCCGCATCGTCATCATCATCGTCACCCTCAAAGTCCGCCTGCATTCTTCGTTGCCGCTTTTTCTGATGACAAATGGCCACAACACATCCACTCAAGTAGGACCTGGATACGTCAGAAACCAGAAGCCAAGATGGAAGCAAACTCAGAAGCAGACCGTTCTGAAATAAGTCGGGGGCATGCTCAATACTTTTCCTCTCTCCTTTCTCTCTCAACAAACACGTCAGAACTCAAATTGCAGACTGTCTTAAGTGAGGGGCATGCTCTTATGACTGCTAATCTCATAATCATCGTCGGACCACCCAGTTTCTGCTTCCATATACATACACGCATACATACTACTTGCAGGTTGAATTTCTTTGTCCACAACAAAAAACATACACCCAGTTTCTGCTTCCATATACATACACGCATACATACTACTTGCAGGTTGAATTTCATTGTCCACAACAAAAAAAATACACCACAACCAGGGTTAAGGTGGATTATCTCTTACACAAGTCGCAATATTCATCAATTTTGGCGACGCTGCAGACTGCGGACGTTTCAGCCTAAAGATGAGCCGAAACAGTCTGTCTGTTACGTACTTCAATGAGTATGGGCAGAAGCAAAGATCAACCAATATAGGATGAGCATTTATGCAGCGGAAGTCTGATAACGAACTGACTCACATAGACTGACTCACATAGAC